GAACTTATGGCCGAGGAAAAACCGTATTCGGAATAATTTTTCCATGGGCCGACAGTGGTCTTTCCATACCTTTAGTAGGACTATCGATTGCATATAGTCAAACCTTCCCGGCTTTTAGCTCATGTAATACTGGGCGGACCTGTGCGGAAATACCCCTTATTAATTAATTCAGTACGTTATTATAGTAGTTTGAGGAATCTTCTACTTTAGATTACTCAAATATTAACAGCTTTTCTATCTGCCCTATTATTCCTGAACTATCAAGGAAACATAAGAAAAATCTATTCAACATGGATGGTGGCGCTCAGACACTGCGCGTACTACTTTTGGAGAGTTCGAAACTATGTAAAGAATTGGTCAAATTTTTGTAGAATAAAAATGACTCAACCATACGGATCAGCTTCGCTTGAATATACGATGATCATTTATTGTAATCGAGAATGCAATTGCTGCCTATTGCTTTTTCTTTGTTTTTTTAATGCCGAGAGCAGAATACTCAGCTATTGTAACCGAAATATGAATCTGTTTCCGTCATTTTTTGTTCTATTGTACATAGCACATGCTTAGACCTTTGCACAGGTATTCGATTATTGAAGAAGACTCAGTTGAAATTCTATCATTGATTCTTCAAAATTCGAAGGAGATTTGTTGTTTCTAGTCCAAAGTGCACTTGAATGAACGTGTGTGAAGTAGTATGTTGTCACTTAACAGTTATTGCTTATGTGTTTTCTTCAACTATTCAGACATGTTCACAGATTGAACGATTATAACCCTTTTTTTTACCCATTAGCAGCTTCTCTATTATCTTGCATTTGAAATACATAAATGGCATTTAACTCACCAATAGATACATCGTATAATAATAATAATAATAATCATCTTGACATATGATTTTTTGCTTTTAGATGGCAACTATGCCGTCGTATCGAAATGATCCATCAAATTTTAATCCTATGACATTAGAAAAAGTGAATAAAGCCAAAATGACAATAGAAAACTTCTATGCAAATCTTATCAATCAATATGAAGAAAGAGAAGAACGGTAACCAGTTTATTAATATCTTTATTAACTATTTAATTTCGTTTTTTGGTCACAGATATCGTCGATTAGAAGAAACAATGCAGGTTGAAGGATTATCTGATCAAGAAGTAAGATAACGGTCACTTTTTATAGTCACAAGATTTATTTGAATTTATTTTCAAATTTGATTTAGAAACATGAAAAACGTCATTTACTTGCCGCCAAAGAAACCGAATACTTACGTTTGAAACGTGTCAAAATGTGTGCTGATGATTTTGAACCGTTAAAAGTAATTGGACGAGGAGCATTTGGTGAAGTAAGTATTACTCATCAATTTATTTGTTAGGTCTATTGACTATCTTGGACGTTTTGGTTTAATTTATTAGGTACGTCTTGTTCAGAAACGTGATACTGGTCATATATATGCAATGAAAATATTACGAAAAGCTGATATGTTACAACGGGAACAGGTAACATAATGAAATCATACAGTAATTATTATATGCTAGATGTTTGTTTGTATTTGTTTATAAAGGTAGCCCACGTTCGTGCTGAACGTGATGTTTTAGTTGAAGCTGATCATACATGGGTAGTAAAAATGTATTATTCATTTCAAGATTCAAGAAATTTATATTTAATTATGGAATTTTTACCGGGTGGCGATCTAATGACATTATTGATAGAAAAAGAAATTTTCAGTGAAGATATGACACAGTTTTATGTAGCTGAAACAGCATTAGCTATTGAATCAATACATCGACTCGGTTTTATACATCGAGATATTAAACCAGATAATCTATTACTTGATGCAAAAGTGTGTAGAAAGGAGCTTGAACAAATGAAAAATAGAATTCAATATTTTATAATTTTTAACTTTTTAGGGTCATATTAAATTGAGTGATTTTGGTCTTTGTACGGGTTTAAAGAAAGCACATTGTACAGAATTTTATCGTGATATACCAAATATGAGACCACAAGACTTCACAAATCCTCTTGATTCAAAACGACGTGCAGAAACGTGGAAAAAGAATCGTCGAGCATTAGCTTATTCAACAGTGGGAACACCTGACTACATAGCTCCAGAAGTGTTTAAACAGTGTGGATACAATAACGGCGCAGATTGGTGTAAGATTTTAGTTCAAAGATATTTGTTTGACTTTATATCTCTGCTAAATTAGTTACTTATCTACATAATGTGTGATTTATATTTTAGGGTCACTGGGAGTAATAATGTACGAAATGATGATTGGCTATCCGCCATTTTGTGCTGAAAATCCCCAAGAAACATTTCGTAAAGTAATGAATTATCGTGAAACGCTTGTATTCCCTCCCGAATCACCAATATCAAATATAGCAAAAGATTTAATATTAAAGTAAATGAGAGATTGTTTGTTTATATACTATATTTATCTAAACTTTTCTTTAGATTTTGTACTGATTCTGAACGCCGATTAGACTCATTAGATGATATTCGGAAACATCATTTTTTTGTTGGTGTTGATTGGGGACATGTACGCGATCGACCAGCTGCCTGTCAACCCGAAGTAAAAAGTATTGATGATACATCGAACTTTGATGATTTTCCTGATGTTGATCTTAAATTACGTACGTATTACTGTTCATTATTTTTATAATAGAATAATTTTTTAAGTTGTAACTTCAAACTACTTGTTGGGAGGAAGAATGCAATAATATATATAGAAGTACCAGGTTTACCTAATGGCATTTGAAATATAACTCTGACGAGAGGCGAGAAAGATTTTAGTGGAATAAATTAAAATATATTTTCTGAGTAACTTTTTAAAAGGGAAGAAAGGAAAATTCTTTCTCTCTTTAAAACGTTACTGATCAAAATCGCTGTTACGTAATTCAAGAGATTAAAACAAATTCTTTATTATTTAAGTAAACGTTTTGTTTCTATGATACACTTAAGATTTGTTGCTGTTCTTTTAGCATCTCCATCCAAAGACAGTGAGCTACAAGTCCACGACTGGCTATTTATTAATTATACATACAAACGATTCGATGGTTTAACAACAAAACCAAAATTAAAAACAACTTTGTGATGTTCTATCTCATATACACAATTTTTTATCTTAGTGTTGAACAGTTAAAACCCTTCAAATTTATCCGTTAAATGCTTGTCTTATTATTTTTTGTTGTTGTTGATATTTTGAAAATATTGTGTTTGATGACAAGGCGTGTTTTGTCGTTTATTTTCTGTTAACAAAAATCGTATTTCTTTTTCAAATGTAAATAGTGAACAATTTATTATTCTTCAGTCTACGCATCGAAAAAGAATAATATTTCTATCTCTTTTTCTAGTGCTTTAAGATTTTTTACAAAAAAAAACTAAAAATAATAAACTTTAAAATGTAATTAGTTGTCTCCTGATTTTTTCTTATTTATTACAAAAAAATTTGTTCGAAACTGTACTGTACGAAACTTTTTTCATCCGCTCTATTAAGTTATGGCGTAAACTAAATACTAGAGCAATCCTTGAATGTGTTCTAGAAAGTGAAAGAAAAGATGCAGCCTATGTATCGGTTGTTCATGTATATGCTCAATTGGATGTGAGAGCAGTAATCGATTCGCTTCGCGTAACAGAATCAAAGTATGGTAATGATATCAAGCTTTATTGAGCTTACGTATCGATGATTATTCTAAATAGATGTCTCAGATGACCTTGAACCAACCACATGAAATAACGCCATATTACTGTTTTATACTTTAACGATTAATGGGTCTATTTTTAATGGATATGGCTTGGAAGCATTCACTGTATTTTACAAGGTAATGAATATAGTCTTACTCTGAAAGGTCATATCTGCATATGTGTGATCAATATTTGTAGTTAATCTGGTTCAAACATTGGAAGATGAAGATGTGTACGACAGTTGTGCGCAGAGTGCTCGTCTGTGATAAAGCTGTCCGCCAGGGATCGGCACGGACCGATCTCTTACTGGCCCGGCCCATGCCAATATTTCACACGATACAGAGCGAAAATTTCTGGCCTGGTCCGTGGCGATCTCTGCTGTCCGTCACCCAAATTAGATAAAGTGTCAACAATAATAAACAAGATAATTATAAATATGATAGAAGTTAGGGAAGTTATACACTAACCGATCCAAATAAACTTTTGAATCATCCATCCATCACTCATTTAGCATTTAGTTTTATTTCATCTTCTACACCGTCAAAAGCTATTTAAATATCGAAAAGTCATCGAGTATTTAGTAGTTGTCATGATGCATTGAGACGAATATTAGAAATTAAGAACTGTATGATAAGTGTTGAAGATAGAACTTGCATCCGTTATTTCAAAGATAATTTTTGTTTATATTCATCGCAGCAATGCTTAACAACTACCTAAAAAGGATTGACTTTAATTCAGATAATATTTTATACATATAGTACCTTACTTTTTGACCTGTGTACAGAAATGAACTCTCTACTGCCTCGACTTGTGTTAATAATAAGTGTTTCTGAACGTTAGTTTATAAACGTCTTTCATATTTTATCATAAAAGTTTTTACAATCACTATGAGTTGGACTTCTGGTATGTCGTAATTCAGACGCTGATTGTGTAATCTCTTATAGTGTTTATTATTGCAAAATATTTTTCGATTTGTTTTAACTGAAATAAATAAATACTGCAAGCTGAACTTATGAAAACTGTATTTTCTTTTTTAACAAACTAAATATTAACACTTATCGTCTTGTCCATGAAGACAAATGCGTACGTGATTTTGATTTTCTTCTTTTTAAGAAATAAAAGACGCCGCTACTAGTAATGTCGTTTTCCTAAAGAACAATAATATACAATATCTCGAAAAGGCCTTAGTTTAAAATATAGTTATTTTTGAGTCGGTGTAATAACTTCGTTTTGTTTCGACTTATTGCCGATATAGTAAAGCAACAATGATTCTTTTTTAGTCAATAACTGCATTTTATTATAGATTTTTTGTATCTCAATAGAATGATCGAAATAGACTTTCAGTCTGATCCAGTGTCTAATGGAAACACTAACAAAGATGATGATAATAAAGATGAGATTTATATTGACAGTGATTACGATGAACATTATACAGAATCTTCTACATCATTCTTGGATTCGTCGGTCAGTCAGCATCAGTCATCAACATCAGCAAATTCAAAAACAGCTAGTTCAATGAAACATTATCAACCACTAACAAAAACGTTATCGAAGTACGTATTTTGATAATATTGAATATTTTAAAAATCGATAATTTTGTTGTCATACTGTAGATATGCAGATAAAATTGATGTTGGTCCCTATATTCCGAAACACTCACAATTCGAAGATACCTTACACAAAACGGTCGATTCAAATCGTTATAGAAGTAAAGATAAACATGATCGTGCTACGGTTGAACAGGTACTTGATCCTCGTACAAGAATGATTTTATTTAAATTTATTCAACGTGGTGAATTACGAGAAATAAACGGATGTATATCAACGGGTAAAGAAGCCAATGTTTATTATGCAACTCGAGATGGAAAAAATGATTGTGCAATTAAAATTTATAAAACATCGATACTCGTATTTAAAGATCGTGACAAATATGTGACTGGAGAATATCGATTTCGACACGGTTATTCGAGACATAATCCAAGAAAAATGGTTCGTCTATGGGCAGAAAAAGAGTACAGAAATTTGATTAGATTACATCAAAATGGCATACCATGTCCAAAAGCAATCGATTTAAAAGAGCATGTTCTTCTAATGGAATTTATTGGTAAACGAATTTAAATTTGTACATATCATCATATATTTTCCACTATCGGTTTTTGTTTTATTTTTAGGTGAAAATGGTTGGCCAGCCCCATTATTGAAAGAGATAACAAATCTTGAAGAAACACAGGCATACAAATTATACATTGATCTAATTGGTTATATGCGTATTATGTATGATAAATGTAAATTGGTTCATGCTGATTTAAGTGAATTTAATATTTTATATCATTTACAAAAGTTATTTATTATTGATGTTTCACAATCAGTTGAACAATCACATCCAAATGCTCTCGAATTTTTACGAAAAGATTGTCATAATGTTAACGATTATTTTCAAAAAAAATTAGCAATTAAAACATTGACAACTAAAGAATTATTTGATTATATTACAGATCCAACAATTGATGATAATAATGAACAACAATATTTAGGTACTCATTAATCTTGATTTTTCATTTCTTTTGTAATTTTAATATTTTTTTCATTTGTTTTAGACAAAATACTATCAATTGCACAAGAACGTCAGTATCCATTACCAGAAGAACAGATTGTATCTGACCAAGTGTTTAAATCCATCTATATTCCACAAACGTTAATAGAAGTCGTTGATTATGAAAAAGACTTTAGACAATGTAAGACGAATGGTGATCAAAATCTATCTTATGCAACGTTGCATGCAATGAAAGATGATTTATCAGGTGCACGTTTGAAACCAAAACTATTAGAAGAAGAAGAGGAAGAAGACGATGATAATACCAATGATGATACAACATCGTCTTGTTCAACAACGTCTGATGATAGTTTTCAATCAGCAAACGAAGAATTAACAAAAAATAATGTTTCAGGTATTATTCGTCCAAGAAATGAATCACCAGCCAGTAAAAAATTACGAAAACAAGCGGTCAAAGAGGAAAATCGAGAAAAAAGAAAGACAAAAATTAAAAAACATATTAAAAAACGTGCAGAAAAATTGGGCGGTGATAGCAGAAAAAGAAGAAAATAAATAAATTTTTTCTCTATTTTCGTTGTTTTTAAATATTAAACCGTTATGTTTCTATTAAATAAAAAAAACAAAAGATCATCTGACGTAATATTTATTTTGAGTTATTAAGTGATTAAAATGAGCAACATCGTTTTAGAAGAAAAAAGTAAAAACGTATTTTGTCCAATATGTTGGACTTTTTTTCCTATTGAAAGTACATCAATGTAGTAGCATTGCTACATCACTCATCGATCATACTTTGGTTTTGATCTATTTTTCCTTTTTTATTATTCACGCAACTTTTGCAAATATTTTTTATTTTTTGCGACAGAAGAAATAGAAGCATTTTGCGACTTTTTCACATAGTCGCAATAAGGTCTCATTTTGTGTAATGAAGCAAATAAATAAACATATGAAAGTTAAAATGAATTAGAAAATATTATTCATGAATAATATAACGACGTTAGATTAACGCAAAACGCCAGTAAATATTGTTTATTGTGTTAAAAGTTTTTTCCTCTCTGTGATATGACATGAAATAACTTCTTAATAAATATCGTTAAACATTCAGTATGCCAGAAAACATTTAGAAAATGTCTAATATACTTTACCTAGTGACTCTCTCGTATATGAAAATTTCTGTCGGCTATTAATGCAGATACAAGTTTGGTAAATGTTGTGGAAATATTTTGGTATCATCAGTGGTGATTGAATGGTAAGCCGTCACCCTCTTGAGAACCGGGGAAGCCGCGGTCAGGTCGGACTCAAATTTATACCAGAGATAGAACATCAAAAAAGAAAATCGATGTATTTTTTCCCAGAACTTTCTGATGTTCTTCTATGGGTCTTCTGGAAAACTCCAGTTTTCATTGACGCACATTACGACACCTCGAAAAAATGGTCCGATCGAGCTCAAAATTTTATCACAGATACTTCAGATCCTATCTGAGGTTCGTTTTTTTCTTTTCAAAAAATATTCTTTCCTTCTCGAGATATTCTGAAAATCTTATATAAAAACCGGTTTTTCGTTTTGAAAACCTTCTCACACCGAAAGTTGAAGTTGTAAACGCTAAAAAAAAACGAACCTAAGATAGGGTCTGAAGTATCTGCGGTAAAATTTTGAGGTTGATCGAACTATTTTTTCGAGGAGTCGTAATGTGTGCTAATTGAAGGGACTATTGAAAAAACGCATAGTGAGAAAAACACATTGTACACAGGGCTCTGTTTTTCAGGGCATTTGCGGCTATGCTTATATTTCAAAAAAAACTCATCGGAAAATTCTGGAAAACATCTCATTTTGACACACTTTCTTCTCTCATGCTATAAATAAGAAAAATTTTGAATATATAGGAAAGGAGAGAAAAATTTACGAACCCAAAAAAACTCAGAATTTCTAGGCTTTGAAAGAAAAACTTAAAAACTTCATCATTTTTTCAAGGAAGGTCATGGAGAGCTGAAAGTGGTGTAATTTTATAGCCCAGACTTTCCTCCACATTAGACTATGTTCAGCTCAAAATGAAAACTTTTCTGCAAAAAGAGGAAGGCGCGGAGCACTCTTAACCGATAGTATACAAAAATTCTTTCAAAATATTGAAAGAGTTTCTCGAAAACCTCTACGTCTATTTTCAGATACCCTAGCTTTTATCGAAATTTTTTTGGAAATATTTCACTTGAATAGAACGAATAGTTTCAAAATCTCAAAGACTTTTCCCGTTGATTTTGCTAGTTTTAACGGACTTTCAGAGTCTGAAAATAGGACTTTGGATTTTCTAAAAATTTCTACTTTTCAACATTTTGAGAGAATTTTTATGTATACTACTCCTTAGTAGAAGAAAATGTTTTAGCTATTCCAACCATATTTCGAAGTCTTTCAGCATTTACGAATGAAGAAAATAACTGAAAATAAAATATAAAATTTATCTATCGAAACTTTTATCTGCCACTCTAATAAAAATAAATGTAGTTGATTAATATGGTAACAAAGCAATACGAGTTAATTTAAACATTTTATGTATGAATAAAGGCATTCTATCCTGCAAGTCGTTTCGAACTGCTGTACTGCACATTCGATATTCAGCATGCTTCGTAGTCTCGAATTGTAGTGTGGGTAATAATAAAAATACATCTGATCTACTCGATTTATATGATGGATTCCATTTTAGAATTGATCGTCAAGATTCTATGTCAGAAAATTGTTTTTAAATGTTAAAAGTAAATATGCAAGACATAATTTGACCATTAATCAACTACCAGAACACGCACATGATACTAAGAATAGTTCATTAACCCTTTACGGCCGGCTGTATAAGCCATTTAGTAACAATATCCCCTTCTGTGCATATTCCTTTTCTGTCGGCTGCCAAAAATTAACTAATAAAAATATTTCTCCCTTTATATTTATTGTTTTGCTGTGACAGGGATCGGCAAAGTGTATTCTTTTAGAACGAAATTCCTTCGACACTTAACAGATCGATGTTACCGGTAGTCAACACCCGGCCGTAAAGGGTTAACAATCACATAGACGATACGTATAGGCAATAGTTTTGATCCCTATAAATAGTAGAATTTCTAATTTTTAGTATATAACTCTTTTACAAAAGGTCGTGCATATTTTTTAGAGCAATTTCAATAAATTTTTCATTTCGGACCACCTACAATGCTAGAGCATTGTTTTATCAAACATAGACCAAATCGGAGAAGGCTATGCTTCCTTCATCTGAAGTAGTAAGAGTGAGGTTATGTTTTTTTTAAGAGCAACGTCATTGCTTACTTTGTACATACAAATCTAAAATATAAACAAAAAAAACCAACATATAATTGCAAAAACTCCCATCTGCCTAAACTATACGGTTTAAATAAATTTCTGTCAGATTTTATTCTCTCTAACTATATTAGTCTTTAAAGTTCAGTTCTTGGTTCATTTGCATGTGGTACATATGTTTTTGTTGTTGAATACGCTTGATTTGTATAACCAAAATTTTCTGGTACCGATTTTCCACCAAGTAATAGGGCGGGATTTGCATCAGAAAAATGTGTTTTCGGTCGATGATAATGTCTGACATATTCTTCGTATGTCTGTCTTACACGTTTACCATTTTCATCTAAATATTCTTTTTTCATTGTATTACCTGTTGGTCTTATTTCTCTGACCATTTGATTATTTGCTGTTAAATCGTGCCATTCATCTTTTACACACGATGTGCAATCTTTTAAACAACTCCATCGATTTGGACATCCTGGTATAAAACCAAAACACCAAAATGAACAAAAATGTCGAGATGAATCACGCAATTGTCTCATGAAAAAGAAAGCTAACCATGGATTAATAGCGCGGTTAATGAGTCTCAATGCAATGAGTGGGATATCGATCGCATAAAAAATGTTTATATTTTTCAAATTTTCATCGATATATGGTTGATAAATACGAACGAGACGATAAATGTAATACGGTAATTGACAGAGGATATAGATAAGAACATAGAAAACGACCATTTTTGATAAATTAGGATGTTCATCATCGTATAGACTAAAATTTAGTTGTTTATACGCATCCATATCCATATTTGCGCTTGATCGTTTTCGATGGCAAATTAATCTTAAAAATAGAAATACAATCATTAAAAATACTGGTAAACCATTGCCAAACATAAAATCAAGAATATAAATGGTTTGTGTTGGTGTTTGTATTGATTGTAAGTTGAGCCAAGTCAATTGATTGAGGGTTGTTGCGTTTGTCTGACATTCATATGCGCCATAGTTTAAATCTTTTAATTCTTGATTAAAAAATAATATTGGTATTAAAGCATAACATACGGCTAACCATAATGCGAGAACAATACACAGGCCACTTTTAAATCGACGTATACCATACCAGCATGTTTTACGTCGTACACATCGATCGATACACATAAAAACAATTGTATAAGCGAGAAGAAAATCCATTGAACGTAAAATATAATATTCAGCTTTACACCATGAATTATTTAACCATCCAGCACTTAAATTAGCATATGATACCATTTTAACAACAAAAAATATCCCGACCCATATTCCATCGGAAACTGTCACATTCCATATTAACAAGTGAAGACTTTTTCGACCATATCGGTCTCCATTAACACACAATGAATAAAAATTGATTATATTACCGATTACAGCAATAATAGTGATGAAAAAATAGACAATAGGTATTATAACTCTAATGGGATAGCCAATGTTGGGCAATATCTGATCGTCCATCGTCTACAATCCTATGGAAATAGAAAGAGAAAAGTAAATGACGATAGTGTAGCACCATAGGAGAAATACAAGTTTTTTTTCAAGTTCAACGAAAAAATTTTAAGCAGAGTGACTCATTCAATAAATTTAATTAGTGATTCTACGCTGAGATAACTGAATCTGACATTTTCTATGTTTAACATTGAAAATTAACATTTCGGTCGATATTCGTATATTCAAATTTGATTATCTGAATTTATTGAAAATCAAAAAATTTGAGTATCTGAACAATTTCTACTGAAAAATGATAACCTTTTACCTTTGTTATTCGTCTTTTTTCCGATCATAAAAGCATACTTGGCCGCCTGTTACATTACGGAATATTGATCTGAAGATAAAATAATTTAATAAAATTTCTAATGTGTATGTGCGGTCATTGGCAAAACATGAATCGAATATTTGTTTATAAAGTTTATTACAATTCTTCTCTTCTTTGTTCATTGTGTAAGGAGAAAAAAAACCGATTCATTGTGTGTGCAGTCACCAAAATCAACAATGTGTATGTGTATGTTTTATTAAAGTTATAGCAAAAAAAAGTCTTTTTGCTCATATAAAGAAAAAAATGTCGTCAGAGAAATCTTTATACGTACAGAGAAATTTGTTGGCGTTCTGTTGTTGTTAAAAAACTGGCTGTTGCATTTAGAACACCTACGGTTCTATTTCAATCTGTATACATGTGTCGTTGTGAGTAAGTTGAATTTTGCTTCAGCATACAGACATACTTATTTCAGACAGAACAAAAAGTCGGTGTACAGAATATCATATGAAGAAAAAAAAGAATTTCATTTCTTTGCTTAGTACTTAATACACACACACACACACACATATAAACACAGACACATACATTTATTAAAGTATCACTACGTGTTTTTTTTTCTCCTTTTTTTTCTTCTTTCATTCAATTCTTTTCAAGACATATAGGTATATGTTTCTATCCTGAATAAAGTTTTCTTTTTTTCTTGAAAGAAATGTCTAATGTATTGGGTATAGAATAGGTAAATCTTAAATCGAGTCGGATTACTATTGTATATCGAAAACAATGTAATTTTACGCATCATAAAAAAATACATTAATTGTTTTAGTCAAATATCGAATAAAAACTAATTGTTGATTAATTCTTTTTAATTCTCCATTTAAAGGAAGAACTTTTGCATAATTTACACTACATAAGAAGACACTATCGCTGTCTTGGCGCTTTCATTTTCAAAGTTTTTCTTTATTCTTTCGTTTCTTTGACTAAAATTACTTTAATATGATAATCTTTATTAAGCTGAACATTTAAACATCTATCATGTTCTGAATGACTATTACAATAAGCTAAAAAACGTAATCATTTTTGCAACGTACAAGAATATCACTGGTGGACGATCGATTTGTTCTGAAAAGCTGGATCAGATATGCAGTTTTATCAGGACTGAATCAAACTTCATTAAAACATATTTTCTTATTCAGAGAATAAAATTCAGAGCAGCTCATTCAGCTCTGAATCTGGTGACTTAATCACCACTGATTTTTATGAAAAAGACAATTTCCTACATTTCGAAGGTGTTTCCGGTTAGAGTTTTAAACTCTGAATAAATTATTAGAAGAAAAAGCTTCATGTAAATAACAAAAATTTATGATAGTACAAAAATTGGATAACTTTGACTATTATAAATATGGTTACTTGAGTCAGTCCTGAGAAGAATATTCAATTCTGAATCTGTAAAAAGCAAAACAGAAGATAAAAACTTTTTGTGGAAAGTAATTTTCAGTTTTTTCGAAGCTCCGACTCTGATTCAGCCCTGATAAAACTGCATAACTAGTTTTATAACGTGACTAAAGTTCTTATTTATTCAAGTCATTAGTTACGAGTAATTAAGCAGCTCTTTAGTACGATGATAATACAAAAATTGGAACAAAAATGAAATCTTCGTGAAAGACATGCAAATTACAATAAAATTGTAAGAATTATTTACCTTTGTTATACTTATATTTTCATTTTTGTGTTGTATTATCACTAGTTTATTTATTCTTAATGATAGACGTTGTAAAACCAAGCGGTGTGCAGAGAAATTTTCGATGAAAGTTCTTTATTCGAAAAAATACCTGTTAATTATGTCGTTCGATGCAGCTTGTCGCGAAGATCATAAATTCGACGTTTATTTTTAAGAAAAAGGCTTGAAAAGTCATCACATCTTTGAATACGTCTCAAAAACTTGCTGTGTCTCCAACAGAGATTTTTACCTGGATATGAGCTTAAGGCAATCCGTTGAACAAAAAAATGAAAATATCATTGAATAAGACTTGAATTATTGCTCATTCTAACTCACGAACTTTTGTTGAACTGTGCATTTGTTATCAGGGTAAAAAATACTTCTGAAAAAGCTAAGTTGTCTGGAAACCTTAGTCCTCCGCATCTGTACATTTCGACATTTTCTATATCCATACCATTTTGATATTACTAGCTGGTAGAACGTCTGTTCAAAATATCAGCTCTTAACGCCTGGTTGTTGCGGGAGAAAAAGGTCGGATGTCGAAGGAGGAATTTTTGTCAAAACTAATAATATCAATCAAACCACGACTTTGTTGTAGAAGCCTTTTCAAGGCTTCTATCTTAACTAGGATCTTTCAAATGAGATGGGTCTCCAAACTTGTATATTACTCGGATGTCGATTCAGTTTTAGTTAGACCTTCCATAACGAAATGTATGAACAATAAGAAACATTAAATGCAAAATAGCACATTCCGCATCAGAGACTGAAAATCCCATTGCTAAACTATATTTATTTGGTATCATCGTTTCGAAAGTTGACAAAAAAAAGCAAGGCTTAAAAATAGCACTATCAGATGCGATATGTCTATTGGCTACTATCGTTCTCTGTGGTATCAAGTCAGGCAGACGAAATTTTGAATAGTAGAGATATCGTGTGTTGTTTTTGTATTTCTGTTTGGTTTAGTAGTATTCGTTAGTTTGAACAACTAAATGGAACGATACTTCTTAGACAGCCGGCAATAATTAACAATGATAGAATATTGGAAGATGGTACCAAGCAAATCTGTTAAAAGCATTGAAAAACTGACTTTTTCAAAAATTGTTTCTACTATTTTTGGTCTGTCTCGATAAAAGACCAAATCAAACAATAGTTTGAATGATCTGGAATGTAGAGAAAATATTTCTGACCAAAATAAAACGCCTACCAGCTCTGGATGATGTTCTGAATCAAACATCATGAGAGTATTGGTAGAAGTCCTAAAATTTATAACAGATGTGGGCGCTACCGTACCTAAAAAGCGAAGGACGTAATCGTTTTACTAAAGATGTAACAAAAGATGAAAACAAAATACTCTATAGATAAATATATGTGGAAAAAAGCTACATGGAACCTGAGCAAAAAAGAGGGAACACGACTTTTTAACATACGAAAAGATATTTTATGTGTACACAATAGGGGACATATCAACAACGAAAAGAGTTGAGTGGCAGGACTTTCGTACTATTGAACAGAATAAAGAAATATCCGAAAAATTCGCATAGTACAAATCATCCTACGATCAACTCATACCATATAAATATGGAACTCTCTAGATATAGACATTATTCTCACTAGATAAAGTCATGAGCTTCTTCAAACATTTAAGTCTGAATGGTCCGTAGTTCAGACGAGAAATCTAGTGACGACTTCTGGAGCTAAAACAGGAGGACAGGACAAAACCCGTAAATTTGATTGCACACGTGGTAGACACCTCCTGACTACCTTATCATGTACCTATGTTCCATTCTATTACTCTCACACGAACAGACATGAAGAGAAATGTGTGCCTCTATCCTTAGTGACGTGAATAGAACTTTTCTAAAGAATCGTAAAGAAGTCTGGCCTTGTCTACACTACAAAAGTTAAAGGAGCTTTAAGGAATTCTATTGGCTAAAAGTTAGTTTAAGCCAACAGAATTGCTTAAAGCTCCTTTAACTTTTGTAGTGTAGACAAGGCCTCTGATAGTTTCTTTCTAGACATTGATTATTAGATTATTCAAAAGCCTTGATTTTTTCCAAATAGAAATGTATCACAAAGATAATTTAATGGCCAAACAAATGATTTAATAAATAATGAGGATGCACTGTGAGCAAACTCAAATTTTCGGGATGGAAATTAAAATAAGCGTAGTAGACACACTGATCACGTAGCTAGACATAATAAATGTATCGTTATTAATTTTAAAAGCTTTAAATTTTGACTATGCGATAAAATAGGTGAAATAAATATCGCTCATACTATTTAAACAAAAGTATTGAAAAATGAAAAAATTCAGTCTGTACTCCCTGCGGAGAAATTTTTTGTTTTGAGAATCATAAGAGAGTACAGACTAATAGAAAATCGTTCACACTAAATTACATAATGATCCTAAACCATCACATTCCCACTTGGGGTCCGGTTTGATTCTACCCAGTTTCATTTGAATGTTATGTGCATACAATACATACTCGGAGTTTTCTATTCACTTATGGTTGAGTGAGCTGCAGTAGGGTAGGTTAATAAAATCAACCAACCACATTCAGTGGTTTTTTATATGAGACCTCAGTCCAAAGTGCCTTTACCATCTGGCATCTGTGCGGATCTCAGATGCGAACATGCTGGTTAAAGAAATGAAAAGACTAACTAACAGCTTTTTCATTTAATCTTTTCTGATTTTTTTCTTTCACTAGTCGCAATTACTCAAGTATTTCACATTTGCTATTAAAAAATCCAGATCAAACGTAAATCTCGATTGATCGATAGTCTTCTTCATCTGCGATCAATCACAATACCCTTTTAATCTCGATTAACTACCTGTAACCATCAATTATTTTCTATTTTCGAGCAAGCAATGAATGATTACGCATAATTAACTGACATGTTATTTTGCCTTGGGATTAATAGTATGAAATTATCGACCATATATTTATCACGGTTAATCGAGAGTGTCTCGTCTTCTTCACTAAT